CCATCATTCTCAAAAATATTTTATTTTCGTCTCCTGATTATCAGTAACCCAAATTTCTTTCTAACTTTGACCAAAAGACTCAGATTTTTGGTTAAACAGTGCGAAATAAGAATCCAAAAATTAGAGCGACCTCTACATGCTAAGTTATTTTTGGATATCTGTTCTTAAACCTAGTTTTTCTTCTAATTTTGGGACTAATACGCAGGCACGAGACTCTTAACTATCTGCTAATGACTAGTGATCACCCTATTCAGTGATCACCAAAAGTAATCTTAAATAGGTTTATGTATCACAAAAAAAAATGACCCACAACACAGTAAGTAATGACTTATTTTATTATTTAAGTGTAGCAAGCGAAGTTAAAATCTAAGAAATTATATTTATATGGAGGTATAATAACCAACAACAATAACTAAGTTTCAGTCACACTTAAGTTGGGTAGACGATATAAATATATAATGAGTTAGACATGCAGAGGCGGATCCAGGTTTTTAAGTCTATGGGTGCACTACAGACTTTAACCAAATTTGATACTTATAAATAGTGTCAATTTTTTTTTTTGGGTCAATAATGTCAATAGATATGGAAACATTTAGTGTTTTATGACCTATTGTCAATTTTAAATATTATTTAAAGAGATAACTTATACACTTCTTAAACCATTCAGTTTTTATCATCAAAATTCAAAATAAAGAGGAAAAATAAAATGATAATAACAATTTAATACCGTAAAATTTAAAACTTGTGCAAATTTTAGTGCAAAAAGAAACACAAAAAAATCTTAACATATGACTAATTCTATATATGTGAATTACTTACAAAATAAACTATATGTTGCAATAAAACATTATAGACAAAAGTCCAAAAAATTTTATTGAAACAAAAATATTCAAGCAAGTTATTGTGTAATTTAATATTCAGTAAAAAGCAAAAAGGGTAAAGAGAAAATTTATTGAGAGACTGCAATTAAGATCGAGGTTAGCATAAATTCGGAGCAGAAAGACTAATAGATTTTAGGGGGGAAAACAAATGAAAGAAAGAAAAAAACAAATAGAGAACAACAGGATGAGAAAATCCGAAGAGGGATTCGATCCCTTGCTGTTGGGAAAGGAAAACAACCGGAACTAGTGAACCACTTAGCTTTATAGACCATGGGTTCCCAAAGTTAATATTAGACCCTTTTTTTAAATTATGTACATGGAAAAACTGATTTGCTGGGAAGACCATGAGTTCACGTGAACCCCAATTTACACTGTAGATCCGCCCTTGTCTGAAATGTGAATAGATCTGAATGACTTTTTTAATGATAGTCATGATATGCTAATTAAGGAGTCTGAAACTTCAGTAACTTCTCCCTTGACATGTTAGCTGTATTTGCAAAAATATTTAATCCTATGGTTTTTGTTTTATCGTATTGTGCATCAGTACATTATGAGCCATTATTTATTTCTCATAATAATTAAAATATAACAACAATTGACACGTAATTTAAGACAAGTACACAAATTTTACAAACAGATCGACAATGAGATTCCGCAACACTCATTTCCAATATATGGTAGATGATGTGCTCTTTTTCAAGCTCGCGAAAAACCCCTTTATTCAACATCTTCTAAACCCCCTTTATTCAAACATTACATGAAAAGAAATAAACTAAAGCCACACATATAAAATCATATGTCTCTGACTAAGTCATAGTCCTCGCGATCCAAGAGAAGCCAAGTTCCATCTTCTTGTTGAACCATTCCTTTGTGCTTCTCAGTCCACCAAGCTGCAGGTATACAATATTCATCTTTTAGCATGTCCCATATCCTGTTGACAAGTGCGAGATCACGATTCACCTCTAGTTTAAAACCTGCTAAAACTCCTATTCCTTGAGTCCCATCAATTCCATGCAAATAACCCTCCAAATTATGCCTTGTGTGTGGGTCTCCAGGATTAAGCTTCAAATACGGGGATTTTGTGGTGTCAATTATTATTTCCTCACCAACGTCTATATAGCCAATGGGTGGGTATTTCGGAACAATGTCTAATAGGTTATGAATTCTTAGGATATGAAGATTTTTCAGTTTGGAAAAGGCCTTCTGAAAATTGAGATCCCCAACTTTAGGACTTGCGAATACAAAAGCTGTCACTGGAAACTCCTTGCCACTGCTCGTTTTGTTGAATCCATTGAAAGCTATGTCAACTGCATTTAGGGTCGCAAGTGATGCACCTAGGCTATGGCCAGCCACTGTTATGCTAACCTCTTCATTTTTATATTCCTCAACCAATCGTTTCACTTCTTCAAGAACCTGCAAACAAGAATATTAGAATGTAGAGCTAGACTCTTAATTTGTTAATATTAGTCACTATGACAATTAAAATTTTATCATTTAATTTGTCACTATTAGAGTTGAAACGCAATATAATTAAGTAATTAATCGTGTGCTCTACAGCTTAACTTTTAGAAGAAATAGTCACACTAGAACGATCAGAAGTAAAAAAACAACAAATCCAGGAAAAAATGGAAGTATCAACAAGTAAGCGATTAATATGCACCTGGTCTCTGGCACTAGCCTGATTAAACATTGATCGTGGATCTTCTGATGTATAAATATTATAGAAGCCATGATGCACCAATGGTTGGAACAAAGGAAGTAAACCCCCATCACCAAATACTTTTGGTCCAGGGATAAGTAAAAATTCAAGGTCATTAACCCACTCCAGTGTCTGAATTGTTCCTCGCCAAGCAATTACGATATCCCTCCTTCCCAGTGCAACTTTACCCTCATCAGTAGCCACAGCAATATACCCCATAAAATTTGATTCCTTATTCCATGCTTCCCTTGACAATGATTTTACAAGGAAAGCACTAGGGAGTGGAATGGATGAAGTTGCATAAAAGTATTTGGTTACTTTATACTTGAGTGGGTCAAGTCCTGCTCTAGTAAAAAGATTTTCCATCGAGTATCTGCTAGCTCCTGCATATTTGGATGCTTTCTCATCGATGAAGGTGTCATAAGTTACATGAGCCAATTCTCCATATTGAATAATATATTTACGAAGATCAACATCCAATGGATCTAAAAGCCCTTCCCAATTGTTTTTGCCACTAAGTTGCTCCCATTTCTCAGCCATACTTGCCATTCTATTTCTTCTTTTATGTTTTTTACTCTCTTTGTTTCTTCTTGGTATGTGCTTATCATTTTGCCCATCAAGCCCAAACTTATATAGGTGAAACTAATTCATTTCCCTATAGGGTTTCACATGCATGAAACGTGTTCTTATTTCTCCTTATTAAAAATTCACAATCTCAATGTCCAATAATTGAAATGACCAAGCAATAGTGCTAATTAATTGTAATCATCTCCATACCTTCTAACTACTACCGTACTCTTTGTTCTGCCCCAGCACTCGGACATTTGAATGAATTTTATAATTTTATAAATGTATTTTAACAAAAATTGATACTCCATATATTAAAGGGTGCAACCGAAAAGCGTTGGTTAAGCATGAGGATTCTTACTGTTTCTCACATGCAGAGCCAAAATTTCTTTTCTCGTGTTCTTGTTTCATTAACATGGATCTGACTTTAAATTAGACTTTATAATCATGAGTTATTTTTACTTGTAAACTACTAGCATCAACTAGTATGCTAAAATTACAATCATCATTAAATGTGTATTCTCCAAATGATGAAGATAGAAATAAATTGCAAGAGTAGCAAAGCTTCAAGGTGAATTTTCTCTTGGATTTATTATTTGTTGTCAATATTTTGCAACAATAGATTAGGAACCGGAGGCAACGTGGACAAGGGCTGATTATTTTTCGCAAATTGTTAAGTACTTCTCCATTATTTATCTATCAGAAATCTTATACTCATAATTGAAATTAATTCGTATGAGATATGAGTCGTATTAGGAATATTCTTTTTAATTGTGGTGGTGATAGGAGGGGTGTATACTTCATTGCAGTTTCTTTGACTTTTTTTTTTTTTTTTTTTTAATTGTGATTAATAATAATTGATAATTTGCTTGTGACTATGATTCAATAAGATGTTTGAGCATGAAGGGGCGTAATTTCCTATTAAAAATGTTCTTTTACTTTTTTATGTTCCTTTTAAATTTTATTTGATAGGGTTTGAGCCAAAAGAACGTATAAATGGGCTAACATATATATTTCAATTTAGTGATCATGTATTATTTATGAATTAAAAATCTTGCAAATCTAATCGAATTAACGCAAAATAAACTGAACCGAACTGGTGATTAGTTTGAATTAAAGACACACCCATGACCTTTAAATCGTAGGTCGATCACCTCTGTTTGCCAACTTGAGTCGTCTCCATGTTTAGAACGTGTCGTTGGAACATGTTAAATGATTTCAATGTAGAAAATAATACTGTCATGTATGTTAAAATGTTATTAATTATTTATTGGAAATAACCAAGTCAGTGCTATGGATCAGCACGTAACATGTTTCATAATTCATTGGTGGATTGGAATTAGGTTACTAGTATTTAGGTAACATTGTTGAAATGTCACGTTCAAATGCTGGGTTATTTGAGTGACAACTTAAAGAGTTGGTTCATCGTTAATAATGATAATTTTTCTATTGTGATTTGCCAATATATTTCAATAATTAACTTGCTGACCAGTGGCGGAGAGACACACGCAAAGAAAGAGTTTCAAACTTGTTTACCCTTAAAATAGATAACAATTGAATTTATACGCGATTTTAAGGATATGTGAATTGATTCAACATAAATAATCAAGAATGTTAGATAAATAAGTTAAAGGTACTCTGAACAATCAAATCAGTCATAACGTTATTGCCTAGCTTAAACCTCGATTTGACAATAGTTTCTGCACTCGGTTGAGTCTTGGGTTCAAGGCCAATCAAGAACAAAAAAACAAAAATAAAGTTGAGACTTTTCAATAGCTAGAAAGCATAGAAGTAAGTTTGTATTGTCTTGGTATGTGATGTTACCATGTCCCTATTGAATAAAAAAAAATTCCCTTATATAGTAGGGGAGTTCTACCCCTAGTACAATTCTAAAAAAGGTAAAAATCCTCTTTGTACGCCAATCACTGATACGCTAACGACATCGGGCGAGATCCACGCTGTAATATTCGATTGGGAGCGAATATCACGACCCTCTGTTAGTCGTGTACAACTGTTTGTAATGCTTTTGCGACGTCTCGGTGTTCTCGGAGCTTTGATTTGGTCTCTATCTCATATATTTATACTTCTTACTTCGTTTGTCTTAGCCTGTTTTTCACTCTTTTGTTTTTTAAGACTAAGCTGCCCATCCTTTCTTTTCTCTTTTCTCTCTCTTCGATAACGGTAACATCTTCATCCTCTCCGAAAAATCCACCGGCAAACTCAGAGCGCCGCCGACACTCGTCCAGGTAAGTACTCGTCTCCTTTCTCTCTCTCCCTGCGTCCCTCTCTTTTTCTCCTTTCTTTCTCCTTTCTCTCTCCCCGCGTCCCTCTCTTTCTTCCTCTTTCTTTTAACCCTAGCAGCAGCTAGGCCGGCGACCGTCGACCCACCGGCGCCGTCTCATCTTCCTTCTGCTTTTACGACCCAACCAGACCACCCCTATAGGTTTCCTTTTCGTCAAACCTTTCCTCGTCGTACCATTGTTTCTCGGACCGGCACTGCTTTCTGGCGACCGTTTCGGTGACAGTCCCCTCCTTTTCTTGGTCCCGTGGTGTGTTGTGTATGTTTCAGGTAGCACTTTTGGTGGCTGTTTGGTGACGGGTGGGAGGTGCACGGGCAAAGCAGAGCAGGCCATTTGGCATTCACAAAGGGCTGGACGTCGGGTTCCAAAGCACCCAGGTTATATTCGCGGGAATTGCTGCGGCTGCCCAGGCAAGTGCAAGGCATACGGGCGAGTAGAACGGAGAATCACCATTCAAGTTATATTTCCAGGTTCTTTCCATCAGGAGTTGGTACCTCCCGTTTTCTTGTATATTTCTCTATGTTAGTTAATTTTTGGTTATTTAGTTAGCATCACTTTAAGCATATTATTAGAATACTTGTAGTTGCAATCGGTTATTTTCTAGTTTGGGTCCGTGTTAGTGTTTTTCGGAGTTTGTCGTAGGTATAGTGGCTGTGGTGTGGGATGGTAGAGTAAGGTCATGTCCTCGAGGGGTACCGGGG